TTGGAACCATCCCGGTCGGACCTAAGGTACGACGGCCGGGGTCTTCGACACCTGTTGAAATCCTCTTTTTTTTATATAAACATATTTTTGGAATATAATATCATTTTAATTATATTTATAACAATATATTATAATATAATATATAATAATTATATTATTATATATTACATATAATATAAGAGAGGGAGAGAGGGATCGGGTAGAGCCCGATCGGGCATGGTTGGAGGCGGAAGACACGCACGGGTGTCGAGTTTGGCCGGCTGGAGTCGTGAGGAGGAGCCAAAGAAGCAATCGTGCAATCCCTATACCTCCTGCGAAAAGTGAAGTCGGGCAGCAAGGGAGAAGCCGAAGGATTGACACTTGCAATTTTTGTACCTCTTGCAAAGGAACGAAGTCGGGCATGGTTGGAGGCGGAAGACACGCACGGGTGTCGAGTTTGGCCGGCTGGAGTCGTGAGGAGGAGCCAAAGAAGCAATCGTGCAATCCCTATACCTCCTGCGAAAAGTGAAGTCGGGCAGCAAGGGAGAAGCCGAAGGATTGACACTTGCAATTTTTGTACCTCTTGCAAAGGAACGAAGTCGGACGACACCGAAGGAGCCGAAGAGCAAAGTCGAACGGCGATGGGGAGTCGGAGAAGCAGTGCGTGCAACCTCCTTGCTTCCTGTGATGCGACGGGATCGAACTGCAGCGACGAAGGGAGAAGATGAAAGGCCGACCCTAGACTCCTCTAAAAGCAACGAAGTCGGACAGTAACGATGGAGTCGAAGGAGCGAAACGAACGAGCGTAAGTTTTTTTTTTTTTTCTTCTTCCGAATCTCAGCCTTTTTTATTTTGAATTGTCGGTGTCTCTGAAGAGGTGCGTCGTTTTGGCGAGATGGGGCCGGTTTACAGGTATGGCGGTTGCTGCTTTAATTTTTTGTTCTAATTTAATTAATTTATTTTTAAAGTCAACACCAAGTAGAGCAAGTCATGGTCGATTTCAGCCAGTGGCTTCTTCCTGACCTTTCTAGAGAGGTGATCTACACCCTAAAAACAACCAGCATTCCAAAGGACGATTCTACTAGGTAAATAAATGGCTATAAAACTGTCCTAATACCTAAGAAAATAATTACAGTAAATCTCAAAATCTAAGCCAGCCAAATCAACCTAAAGGTCATTCGAAAGTCAGCATACAAATACTAAACTGGAAAGAATGGTTATGATGATTCAATAACTGACACACAAAGTAAAAATAAAGAGACTATTGCTGAGAAATATTGACTTGTAAAGAAGTATTAGATCACAAAATCCGATCTTCTAATCAAAGATTAGATAAGGGTTAATCATACAGTGGAAAAACAGATTCAACACCAACTCTCCATAACATTGAAGAAAAATGGCGATGGTAAAATACATAAGTAGGTAGCATGGAACAGTCAGAAAGAAATAAGAAAGAACTCTGACTGAAATTTAAACTTACAGTGGAAAAACAGATTCAACGCCAACTCCAGCAACCAGTCTGCGCAATCTAAATGTACTATTCAGGCCAGCATTCCGTTTAGCTATTACAATGCCCTTCAGTATTGAAACACGTCGTCTGTTCTCAGGCACCTCCTGCCCATGTCATCGAACATGAGAAAATATACAACAAAACATTTGATTAATTTTAGCAATGTAGCAGTTAAAATGGATGCATAAAGCCGAACAAAATTATTTCTAGCCACAAGCAATAACAGATGAGTTAACTGATATTTATGCCCTACCACTTTCAACTGCACAATGTAACCAGGTTTTATTTCCGGAATGTCTCTTTCAGCTTTTACTTTCTCCACAGCTTCCTTGTCTAATATCTAGAAGTAGACCACGATGAAAAACATAATAAATATGGATAATCAAAATCAAATTATTAACTCCAAGACACATTGAGGCTTCGTTTGGGACAGTTTTTTTACAGCTTCTTAAAGCAATATTTTAGTAAAAAAAATTAATTTTTCCACTAAAAAGTTGTTTTAAGCAGGAAGAAAGCCGTCCCAAACGAAGCCTGAATTAGCACCGAATTAATCATGAAATTCTTGATTGCTATAACTTAAAGGTCGCCATCTACAAATAAATGAGACTTACATTCATTATGTGCTTTGCTGTTTTATCAAGTCTCTTAAATTTGATTCGCGGGGGTTGTTCCACATCCGAGCGTGGATCAGTGGGACCAAGTGTCGTCATGTGCCTTAAAGATATGTTTTTGCAAAGGTAAAGATGAAATATTGGGTAATTAGACCGCAGCAGCTCACCCTGATACAACATGCTTGCCTTTAAAAAAGCCAAAAATAAATTAGATCTATTTACTTAAAGAATAAATATAAAAGAAAAAAATCAGCACTTATTTCAAACAAAACAACTAAAAATATTACAGGAAACTTTTGCAAAAAATTATAATTTACAAAGCATTATAAGTCTCCCAATAAGGTCATAACAAAGCTGAATGCAAGGGTGGAGATATTCTGGTGGAGGTTATTGAATAACTCTTTATCAACATTCCATTTCAGAGCATTTGATGGCGAGCTGTAAGAAACTGAAGGAGGTTATCATTCTTCTAAATCAATGGGGATTCATGATACCAATTGTCTCTTGCTTTGAAGATCGCTGGAATTGGATGAGGAAAATAAATCCTTTTATGATGCATCTTTTCTTTAACATTGTTTATTTCATCTGGAAGGGAAGGAATGAGTTGGTCCATGGGAAAGTTGAAAGAACTTCAGTCTTTATAGCAACCGAATCTGTCACTATGCAGCAATGCACAAAGCTATGAATGGGAACACTTCAGGACGGTTGGATGCCAATCAGCTGTTGTTGTTGGATAAAGCTTGGCACCCTCCTCCACCCGATTGGATCAAGGTGAATGTAGATGCAGCATTGTTACCTTCCTACAAAGGTGGAGTCAGCGTTGTATTCAGAGATCACAAAGGGAGGTTCCTTTTGGATTTTGGTAAATCATGTGAACATTGGAATATAGCTTACTTGGAGCTTCTAGCTATGAAGACAATTAAAGAGATGATAAAAGATTGGATGATGGAATATAAAGGAATCATTATTGAAGGAGACAATGCAAACGTTATCAAGTTCATTCAGGATTCAAACAGAAGAGATGGGGAAGAGCTTGAAGAATTCTCTTTTCCTAAAGATTTTAGTTATGTGATTTTTAATTGTATAGAAAGGGGTGGTAATAAGTTAGCGGACTTATGTGCTAACTATGCTATTTTTGCTTCTTTTTGTTGGGATGATCTAGGGCTCAATAAGGTTCCTCCTTCCTTTATGGAATTATTAAAGGAGGAATCAGCAAGTAACATTGTGTAGTTGGTTCTCCTTTTTTAGTTTCAATGCATTTATTGCTTCTTCAAAAAAAAAATTAAGGCCATAACAGTGAATCTGAATTAAATGGTTCACAATGCATCCTTATTTACATTCTCAGTAAAAATCCTAAACCTCTCAAATTTAGTAGGGTGTCCACGATGAAAAAGAGGCAGAAAGGGGGGATAAGAATTGGTGCATCTAAGAGTTGAGATATCAGGAAAAGAACAGTGATGTAAATTATTAAAAAAAAAACAATCCAGGCATCCATACGTAAAGTGCAAACAAATTAGAGAGTTAAGAAAGAGAATGCACTAACTTCAACGTCCAAGGTTGTCAAAAATAAGGAATGAAACTTCATATACTTATATCAAATTAATAGGAAAATAAATACTAGCATAAAATTTGTATGGATCACAGCAAAATACAAGTATATAGGTATCTTAGAAATAACATAGTAATCCAAATTTAACCTTCAAAATGCCAGTTCAAAAAAGAATTCCTAAAATTTACAATGTTCATAACAAAAGAAATTGATTATGTTGGATAGCAACCTTCAAGTTCCCAATCAAACTTTCATTATGTGGGCGCTCTATAATCCCTGGCACTAGTACATTCTAGTGATTTCAAGTTGATATTTTAGAATGCAAATTGGATATTATAGATTAAATACTACCCAGAAATTTCACCATCTATGAAGTATTATAAGGTTAAATTCAAGGTTTACCATCATCGCATTTGTGAGCTCTGAAAAGTTCAGCAGCACCCCAACATCATCCCCATGTCGAGGGCTTCATTGGGTATGTTGGGCCTTCCCACCAGACCAAGAAACACATACATGGTTAGTATTGTAAGACACCATGACAGTACTCTTCAATCCCAGAAACTAAAAAAGGCAATGCATGGGTCTTTGAAGACTTGTTTGCAAGCCACAGTATTTCCATTCCCATTAAGAAAGATGATCAGGAGTACTTAAACTTACCCAGTTGTGCTAAAAAAAAGCGCACATGAGGCTCACCCGTAACATCGGGAGCGTCGCTCATGAGTTTCGCCTGTCGGCAAAGAAACGTACGCACGGTTTCCACTTGTAGCGCCAAACACGTCGTGTATGGGATTTTAGAGATTTAAAAGTTGCAGGAGTTATGCTATCAAGTGTGCTGATGCGAGGACGATATCAACAAGATAACGAGGGCGAGGCGATGCACGAATAATGTATTTTTTTAGAGAGGAAGGGTTAAGGGAGAGAGAAAGATGGGTCTTCTTTTCTTTATAGAGAGAGAAAAAGATGATTAAAAGACTAGGAGAGGATGCCCTCTCTTTTTCTAGAGAGAAAGAGAAGATAGTGAGGTGGAAGAATTGCAAGGGAGCTAAAGAGAGATAATAGTTTTCTATTTTTGATTTTATAGAGAAAAAAAGTGGTAGAGAGAGTGAGGGATGGAGAAGAAGAGTTGTAGAGGACTTGTGGAGAGAGTTGTGAGGAAAAAAAATTAATTATTTCAAATAGAAAAAGTAGAAGAGAACGAGGGAGATGAGTTGGACGGAATGAGGGCTTGAATTGCATGCAAAGGGGGTCGGCTAGGAGATAAGTCTTCCCTATAGGGAGGGAGCATAAGTTTCCACGCTTGGGTATAGGAGCGGCAAGGAGAGTGAATGAGGGGAAAATGAGTTAGGTTATTAGATTAGGGTTTAGTTCTTTTAGGTTTATTTAATTTTTCAATAATAATTAAAAATAAATTATAAACACAATAAAAAGGACAGAGGTGTCGTACAACAGCAGGGGTACTTGAATATTCCAAATTTATATAATTTTCAATTATTTTTAATTAATAATAATTTTCTCACTATTAAAGAAAACTAAATTGTAAGTCTTAAATTAATATTCAAAATTTTTATAAAAATAATAAATAAGCATTACTTTTAAATTCGAGTCAACTCGCTGGCTGGTTTTCAATTAACTGCGTGCAGGTGGATTTTTCTCATGCAGAGCACCCGTCCAATATAGGTATCATTTCCTAGCAATTTAGGCAAGTCCGAACACAATGGCATGTCTGTTTTGCGAAGGAAGGTCGTTTGAGCAATGTCAACGATGGGCATGTGATTCATGGATTTTGTCCACTTTTGCTCGAATTGATTGCAAGAAGTCTTATTTGGGTGATTTGACGTTCAGAATGCAACAACGTGATTTGTTTCGCGATCAGAGGCCATTCAGACAAGTTCACATGTTGGAGTGCTCCAAGTTCATTATTTTCGTCATCGCCCAAGCAACACATGAAGGGCATCACTTTATGACCTACATTATTTTCTCATCCAACAAAATAATCCTTAAATATATTTATCATAGTGATACGAGATAATTTAGTTGATAAAGATATTGAAAGTTGTTTCCACATTCCTAAGATCAAATCTTGTCTACGTCAAATTTGTGCTTCAAGACTAAAAATTCTCAAAAAAAGAAATGTATTCATCATATAAAATTTTTTTTTTCAAAAAGTTGAGAAAAAAAAAACTCAAAAAGTCATCACAATAATACAAGAAAGCACATATAGTAGCAACTCCTACATATTTCAACCTCTTCGATTTAAATTTTTCAAAGCAAAGATAACGTAAACTCAATCAAAAATCACTTAACTGACAGAAAAAAGGCAATTGCTCAAAATGATGCTTCAAGCAATTCAGAAGACTGAATTGGAAAAAAAAGGTCTCGCACCAAAAGTAATAGTTGCCCGCATAACAGACAGTAAACGGATAACCATTTTAAATAAAAATTAATAGTTTAGATTACCGAAGGATATGGAATCAATATAGTAAACTAGAGATGGCTAAATGTACTGCAAAGATGAAGGAAACTACACTGACAGCTCCTTATAACGTAACAAATAAAAATGGAAAGGTCAGGATTCAGATTACTTACTGCAACTGAAAAATTCTTAGGAGGAAATGAAAAAGAATAATTTCTTTGGTAGATTGGTCCTCTTTGAAATGTAGAAAAATTTAGCTTCAATGTTGACAATTTGTTATTCACGGGAAAGCTCTCCGAAGATGTTGAATGTGCAAATTTATAGCTGGCAAGATGATTTCCAAAACCACGAACACTTCTCCAAAACATTTGCATCCTTCCTGTTATGCAGCTGTCATTGCAGATATTCATCGCATCAGTAATAATGCTAGATGAGCAATTTAAGAAAAAAAAATGTTGTTTCTATTTAATGTGTAATACTATCGCATTCAATTTTTAAAGGAAATAACTCCAGTTCTGAATCAAAATATTTTCATTTAACTACATTGTGCAAATTACTAAACAGAGATACATAGGGGTTGACAGCAAACCACGTTATTACTCTTAACATTCTGCAGACCAATTAATGCGATATGCAGATCCTGTGTAGTAGGCAAGCAGAGCTTGCATAAACAACTCTGATCAGAAATATTTTTATTTCAGCGCCATCAGAAATTTGATGAGGAACAATTTTGACTCTTGTACCGAGAGATGTTTTTATATTGAAGGATTGTGGGACCCACAAGTCAGTCATAGAGATCCTTGAACAAATGGAATAAGGGTTCCAACCATTGGATCGATCTATTTATGGCCCTTAAATTCCAATTTGTGTGCCTTTTTCAATTCTAGCTGCCAGCTCCTCTCAGAAATTTTTTTTTTTCATTTTTATAAATAATTTTGATTTATTTTTATTAAAAGCCTTTTAAATAAAAATATTTCTACCTATAAATACTTCTACACTTTGCATAGAATCAAACAATCAAATTCGAAGTAATTTTTTATATTTCTACCTTTCTAAATGGTATTAAAACAAGTTTAGAGTTTTCGCCTTCTGACCTTGATTCTTTTTTCAATCTCGCTTCTTATCGAGATTCTTCATTTCTTTATATCCCTTCCAAGGAGTCGACCATCCTGAATAGTGAAATCAAACTAAAGGCAAGTCCAAGAACTAAAAACCTCATTTCGGCTGAGTAAAAGAAATTAACTAAAATGGTCCTAAATTATGAAGATTTTTCTGAAAGAAAAAGGAACCATGAAGGGTCTAGTCAAGTCTTGGAGGAAGGGTGATGAGAGAAGAGGATTGTGCCCACTAAACGGCCCGCCAAGTTCAGCGGAGAGGAGCCTCCTTAGAGGAAAGCAAGCGTTGAAGTGGGGAAGGGAGCTTGCCTGAAGCTGCTACCACCCAAGGAGCAATGACCTCTTCCCACAAAAGCAAAGGGAGCAGCATCGACTACGACAGCCAAGGGGATGAGGACAACTCCTCCTACATCATAGGGGATCATGATCGACGAAGAGAAGGCTAGGAAGAGGGCCAAGCAAAAGAGAAAAACCGTTGTTGTCACTATGCCCGGCAACTGGAAGACGCCCGCCGAGCCTTCAAAGAAGTTGAGTAGCGACACGGAGAGTTCATCATCCGACGAAGCTCCTTTCGAGACTCGGGTCTCAAGGTGGTGCTATGACCAGGGCAACGCCATTCATTTAAGAACATCGAGGTTCACCCGTTGAGCCTTCTAGTTGAAGAGATTGAGTACTCAACAATGAACGCAATGAGACAAATTTGGCAATCAATTTTCTTCCTAGCTCGCCACCATCACAAAGCCTTAACAAAGATCCAAAGCTTGGAGTGCATCTGTGGTGAGGTCCAGAGGTGCTTAAAGGATGAGCGCTCCAAGAAGCTTGCCGC